CCATTTCCCTTTTTTTGTCGGACTTACATTTCAGCTTAGGGGTAGGTGCCGACAGAGCCAAATCTCCCATCGATTGTGAAGGCGGAGGCGAGGCGTGAGCCGTCAAGGCATGAGACATCTGGGGACGAAGGGAAGCCTCTAAGAGATAGCTCTGAAGACGGGCTGCATGATTTTTACGGGCTTGATTGCTGAATTACTGCAGTGAGCACAGGAATCAACCTGATGGCCCTCTCCCAGACAAAAAAGGCAGAGCGAGTGTCCATCCATCGACGGTAACTTAGCGTCACAGCCCCGACACCTTTTTTAAAAGGTGGTTTTCCTTTTAGACTCCGCCAGGATGGGGGGGGGGAGAGAATGGAGGAATAGGGAGACAGTCCTCACACTGACAATGAATAATTTTTTTTGGTAGACAATGAAGATGAAGACGAAGATGTAACGAAGTTGAAGAAAAAGAGGGACTCAAATTAGTGAGGTAAAAATTGGTCTGAGGTAACCAGATGAGGAGAAAATGCAACGAGGTCCGAACGAGGCGGTGGAAAAGAAGAAACTGAGCGGGGGCAGGGTTTTCTCCTCAGCTCCAGGCATGCGCAGTAGCAGCCTGCTTCCCAGAGCGGAGGGAAAAAGCCCGTCAAAAATGTCTGAGGCTAGTTCTTCTAGATCTCCGAGGTCGGGTTCGTGGGCAGGCCCAAAACCCAAGTGTGGGACTGCACAGGGACCACGATGAAGATCCAGTAATTAGGGCAGAGCTAACTAGAGAAGCCCCTTACTTTCAAGAAAGCCAAGGACAGGATATCCTGACTCACTCGCAGCTGCCTGTACAAGGAAGCTATGCTGCAGCACAGAACAAGCATGCCTGCTGTGAAAAGGACAGCTCCATCTAGATTATGCCTTTTTGATGGAGTCAAAACACTTATACCGGAACTCTCACAGCACTCTTACAGTGAAGCACTAAGGAAGAGGAAATATATCACTTAAGTATAAGACACACACAAGGAGTCTTTTATACTTTTTAATTTCAATTTCTCTCTATATATAAATGTGTATCTTGCTGATATATTTGTATGTGAACCACCCTAGCCATTAAGGGTGGGTGGATTGAAGGTAAGGTCAAAAAGAATGTTTTAAATAAAGGAAGCACCCAAGAGGTTACACAGGTGTAAAAGGAGAGATGTGTAGTTGAGCTTTCAATATACATACTTCACTGTTATCCCACTGCAGTTCTGAGGGTCTTCAGATATTATTGAGTATTCTGTAACCTAAAATTCAGCAGTGAGTTCATATATATATGGAAGGGTGTGTGCACTGGCCTTCATGAACTTTCAAAATTATTTATTCTAAAAAAGCAGAACAAATCAAATGTAGAAAATTTCTTTTAACTGATCACCGTATCCCATTTCTACCTGAAGCAGAAAAGGCTAGCCAAGAGAACTGAAAAAGTTGGATGCCTAAGTAGTAGCAATGCTGATCTAGCATAAGACTTGCACAAGCCCTGCTCTAGCTGAAGTTTTTTTCCACATTAAAACTGTGGTGAAACCACCAACGTAAAACTAGTTTCAAGTGGTTTCCAGGACAACACCTAGGAATCTCTCTCATTCCATATTGAACAACAGAAAGAATTATATAGATATTTTCTGCATAGCTATTGATACAGAGGATCTGGAAAGCTCTATTCGAAGCATGTTCTGGTAACCAGTAAACGTAAAAAATAACTGAACTGTATCTAATCTTAACTGGAGTTCTAGTACCAACAAATAAACATAAATGTCTTTTAATCACTAAGACAGCATATGAAGTAACTTTTAAGCATGCATAAAGAACTCCCCTAATACTAGCCATGGTGGCAGGAGAGACCATAAGTAAACAAACAGTATAACTGAATTAAATTCTGTCCTGGAGATGCACGTGCTGACAAAAAAAGGTTCAGACAAAACATGCTTAACTTACAGAAAGCTGCTGTTCAAATCAGACACCTCATTTAGAAATGGCCAAAAGGCCCACAGAAATCAATGTACAATGGTGCCTAAATTAAATCTTTATAAACAGTAGATCTAGCCAGTGAAACAAAGTGTACTAATCCCATACTGAAGCCACTTTCACCTATGTTGTGCACAGACTCCTCCACAGTTGTTTTCATTTGGGGGCACCCAAGTTCGGAAGAGAACTGACTGTACTATAACAAGTTCTTTAAAAGGGCTAATTATTTTTCATGTATAATAAAATCCTGACTTGTCTCTGATCACTCTCTGTCAACCAAGGAAAATATATCTAACAGGCACATGTTTTCATGAAACATGCGGGTCATTATTTCCCTTCATATTATTTTCAAGGACATAAGATTCAAGTAAATTGTCCATCATGCTAATGTGTGTGTGGGGAGGAACAAAAGGAGAGGATCCAAGACTAGAAGTATCATCCTAAACATCCCTACTAAGCTCACTGACATGAGTGTGCTCAGAAGAGTGTAACTCTGCTGAGAATAGCACAGAAAAAAGGATAAATTATAATCTCTGAGTTTTTGGATTTACTCCTCTAGATGAATGGAACACAAGCTACACCACATAATCTATAAATATGGTTATGCTTAGGAATCACTTGCATTGAAAACCAAGAACAGCAACCAACATTCTAAAGAGAATCCATAAAGACCAGAGAAAAGTATTTAAAATCATTAACAAATTGCCTCAGTCACAGCACATGTGCACATATGGCCCTCCATGCCATTACCAAAGTCTCCAGCTAGAAAAGATCTCATGAAAGAAGATGGAAGCAATTTTAAGCCATCCCATCAATCAGAATGAATTTTTCAAAAAATCCTCATTTAGATACTATATTCCTAATTTATTAATGGGCAAACTTCTAAAAACTACAGAACTAAGACATGTAATAAGGTGACAAAGACAAAGATATCATCCTAGAAGCGATTATAAAGCTGTGAAGAAAAAAAATAGGTGGGTACAGGCCCATAGTTAGCCAGGGGCAAGGGGGGGCCATGCCTCCACAGATGGACCCAGCCCCCTCCGGGAGGATGCCATAGCCCCCAGCGCGGGCAGAGGGCCCTTGGTTTCGCTGTGGCCAAGAAGTCTGAAGCTGCAGCTGAGCTGGAGGAGAGGGAGAGGGGTGGTAATCAAATTAGACTCTATAAGACTACAGAATAGACTTATTCTAGAAAGGGAGACTGCTTTTGTATTAGTAGTGCAGAATGTGCAGCATCAGATTTAAAACACATTTATCTTCTGCATTGGACTGCATGGTCTAGAACCCACATTCACTCTTTGGAATCAGTCCTTTGGATGATGATTACCACAGAAAAATATTTTCTCTCCTATACGCTTGGGTGAGTTGAAAGTTAAGAATGTTAGGATTTGGTGCAAAAAAACTGCAAGAAAAGAGCCGCTCCATATAGATGAAACATAATTCTAACCAAGAAAGCCATTAGAAGTGGATGATTAGTTATCTAGTATGTCTACTGTGGACTTGAAATCCATCAAAAAGGAAAAGGCAAAGCAGGAAGAAAACTGTCAAAATCCATTTTAGAGAAGGAGGTGCAAGGCTAATAGGAAAAGGCAAACGTTCAGGCAGTATGAGCTTTAACACGGGCAGGAGAGGTCCAGAGCCCAACATCTTAGTCTTCCTCTTTTGGGCTGGGCAATTTGAAACCTTATTAAGAATGCATGTTTCAAACTTCTGTATTATTATTTTTTGGGCCCCCCGGAGGGGATTTTTTTTAAGAGGAGAAGGACAGCAAGTCCAGTGGCGAGTTGGACTCGGGGTCTTCTGGAGAGGACTCTCTTTCTGAAAAAGGGGCGGCTGCCCCTAAAAGTCCATACAAACTGAGGAAAAGAAAAGATAAGAAAAAATGAAGGCTGAAGGACTCTGAATTGTGCCTTTGAAAGTATAGCTCTTAATAATGAGATGCTCTGGGGTTTCTCTCTAACAGTTAAATTTAAGACTAAAAAGATATTTTAGCATGTCTGACTAAGTTCAAAACATATTAGCGATTAAAGGAAAGACTTTGTACTCAAGCTGTTTTAATGATCTCCTTCTCTTGGGTTTTAGTTAGTAGTAATTATCTTTTCTTTCTCCTTAATTGTAGTTCCCTTCCCCTATCTTCATTGTGGTTTGTAGTCCATTTAAAAATGCAAACCTCTGTATTTTCTAACTTTCAACAAGAATGATACAAATTTCTTTCTTTAATAATTTCTTTAATGTTCAAAACATGGGAAAACTTCTTAAGAAAGTAACAAAAATTAAAAGTTTTATGATATATATTTTGCCTATGGGAAATATAAAACTCTGAGCTACATGAACAAGCAGCAATAGACACAGCAAATCAAAAAACAGTCCATGATGTACATCCCAAGGCAACACAGTCCTAAGGACTATGCTTTGAATTTTCTCACTGACAAGATTTCTGAATCCTTACAAAGAACACAGAGTTTACTGAGTTCACTACATTTACAGGCTGCGAGGTAACCCATCAATCCAGACTAGTGGATCTGAGGATACAAAGCTTGTGTATCAGGAGGCACTCCATTAGATAAAGCATCCAATTGCCCTGCACTGCTCTTAATACCAAATTACATAAGGTTGTCCAGAACACATTTTGTCAGTTTGATTTCTCAAAAAGTTCAATTTTTAATGATAAAATGTCTCAGATATATCTTGTACACTAAATGGAGAAACAAAAAGTTAGCCAACTTGAACAGTAGCAAGCATCAATTAAAGTGGTCAATGAATGAGATTAAACGATAAGGGATTATGTACCAGATAACAAGGCTTTTAAAGCATAGCTCAAAGCGAACATTTCAATTTAAGATAACGTAAAAAAATAGCTTTTTCTAATTTACATGTGAAAAAATTATGTAACCAGGAAATCCCACATATTAGTCCAGACTACACTTAATTGAAACTGCCTACAACACATGTGAGTCAAAGGAAACTTCTTTGTCTTCCTATTTCAGAGTTGTTCCAACTGGTAGAATTTATGGCTTTATACTCACATGTGTGGATTCTGAAAAGGAACTCCAGTTGGGTTTAGAGTAAATTTTGTTGTGGATTTGAAAGGTGGATTTGCAAAGTTCAGCTTCAGTGCTCTGCGCTTACCTGAGAGGAAGCAAACACAAAAAATTCATATCGGCAAGAGAACAAAGATTATACTGTACTGAGAGCATCTGAAATAAACTAGATAATATCTTCCTTGCATGTAAGACCATCTTATATCATCATTACATGTATTATATGACAACATCTGTCACAGTAGCAATGGACCAGCCATTGGGTAGAGCTCCTTTGCTTTATAGTAAACTAGGAACAAAGCCTGTTGTGGAAGTGAGACAACGAGCTGTAGCTAGACATGGGGCCTTTCCTCTCCCTGGCCCACCACTTTCTTCCCGCTCTCCAGATGCTGTGAGTGGTGGGGCAAGGGGACGGGCTGGCAGCAGTTCCGTGGGCGGGCTGTCTCCAAACAGACAGATCCCCCCCCCCGCTTTCTGCTCCCTTCCGAGAGCCTGTTGTCAAGGTGCGATGGGCTGGGCCGGCAGTGTTTCCCTCCCCTGTGGAGTCGAGCGGCTTTCAGTCTGCCTCTGAGGCCCGTGATGGTTTATCCTGAACTTTGTCCCCTCAGGGACCTGAAGGTCTCCCCTCCACTGTCTCCCCCAGGTCCCCGACCCTCTCCCGGCCGTCAGCAGCACCTGCCCATCCCGGTGGCCTTGTGCTGTCGTTCGCATCCCTGGCTGGAGTGTGCTGCGTCTTGGGTGGCTGCGGCACTGGCCGCCTCTCTCCCTCCTGGCTGCCTGTCGTCTCTTCCTGTGGGCCTTCACCTCAGAGCTGTCCTCGTGCTGCTGGTGTCATGGCCGGGTGGAGTGGAGGTGGCGAGCATGGCGGAGGGAGGAGTGAGCAGGCTGTGGAGGGAGGCTGCCGCAGGCAAGAAGGCGTTAGCCAGTGCGGTTTGCGTCGGGAGGGAGCGGCCAGGCAAGACTGTCCTCCTGCCTTCCCGCTTCGTGGAGACTGCAGGGGAGACACTGATGTGTCCAGCGGCTTGCGGGCCGCCTCTGTGGTGGTCTGCCCATCAGCCCCCTGTCCCTTTTCTGTCCACCATCTTCCCTCAGGGAGCTGATGCTCTCCCCTCCACTGTCTCCCGCAGGCCCCCGACCTTCTCCCCTCCCGTCAGCGCCACCTGCCTGTTCCGTTGTCCACATCCCCGGCCGGCATGTTCTGTTTCTGGGGCGGCCGTGGCACTGCCTCCCTCCCTCCTGCCTGCCCGGCACCCCTCCCCACGTTCCTTCACCTCAGATTCCTCCTCCTGGTGCCGCTGTCATGGCCAGGGTGAGTGATAGCGGCGAGCGCAGCAGAGAGAGGGGCGAGCAGGCGGCATACGGAGGCTGGCAAGGGAAAAGGTGATGTTGGTGGTGCCAGCCAGGATGGCTCGGGCTGGGGCTGGAGGAAGTGAGCAGGCCGTGGCAAGGCCAGGTGGGGCCGTCCTCCTGCCTCCCCGCAGGAGAGTCCATTGGAGCATCCATGCCGTTGGACGGCTCCCTGGAGAGTAAAGAGTGTGGCTGGAGGCTGTGTGGGTGGGACTGAGGGAAGCAGGCAGGCAATGGATACAGACTTGGGGTGAGTGACACAGCAGGGAGCGAACTGATTTTGCCACACATCGAATCTTGCCATTCCAAGTGACAATTATATATGAGAGATTCAGCCATTAAGCAAGCCAGCTTCTAACAACACAGCTTCTTTGCACTACAATTATCATTACCCTTACAATATTAATATTAAAATAATTACCAGGACTGAAAATCTGAGTTTCCAGGTATTAATATTTTAATATTAATATTTTAGCATCAAGGGTTAAAATACATCTTATTACTCTCAAGCAGCAAGGTGCACCATGCAAGTTATATATGAGGTTCAATTTTAAAAAATGGACAGGGTCACATCCTTAGCTGCCATTTGAAATGCTAGCATTAGATGCAATCATGCCACAGATTTTGACTAAGGTATCTGGCACAAGAACAATCTGTTCTGTTGCTGCCTTTTGAAGAAAGAAGTGCAGCTGCATATGTGATTGACAGAGCCTCTGCAAGAATGTGCATCTCTGCATACATAGAGAACATGTGTACATTCATGTAGATAAATGTATCTGCATTCCTCTACATGTGCATGCAAGAGAATGAGTATCTATATCCATAGATCTGTGACTGCTGACAGTGCAAATGTACACACAGAGTTTTGCTGTACACCACAAGCAATTTAAAACTGGAAATATGGAACTCCTACCAAAAAAGGCTTCCTATTGCCAGCTTAAAGATCACACTGCATGCTATCAAATATTAATGACATCTATCAAGAGGAATAAGTTTCCACAGATACTGCAGGACCTCCAGTGTCCACCATAGTTGCACTACATGTTCATAATAAAATACATGAACCTGTCAAACACTTTCTGCACTGTATGAGGCAATAAAATGTGCCAGGGTCAGTCCATGTTTACTGGCTGCCTGCACCAACAGCTTCCTGTTAAGAAAGCAGAAGCAGAGGAGGAGGAAGAGACTGGATTTACACCCCACCCTTCACTACCCAAAGGAGTCTCAAAGTGGTTTACACTCTCCTTTCCCTTCCCCTTCCCACAGCAGACACCCTGTGTGGTAGGTGGGGCTGAGAGAGCTCTTTCAAGAATTGCTCTTTCCAGAACAGATCTGAGAGAACTGTGACTGACCCAAGGTCACGCCAGCAGCTGTATGTGGAGGAGTGGGGACTCTAACCCAGTTCTCCCAGGCTCCAGTACAAAGATTAAGAGGCATAATGAGGCAAAGTAGGACAGCTTTCAACATAGTAGAGGGCTTCCCTTTAGTACACTTCAGTGTAAAATAATGTTTTGCGCAGACCAATTGCTTATAGTTAAGAGAAAGTCTGTACTGGCTTTGGTCCTTCTTAAAATAATGAAGAAAAAAGATCAGACTTGCCTAGTGCAACTTTTGCATTAGAAGTTTAATTCAAATGAAAATGAACGTGTTTTCTTTATAGAGTAGGGATGAACTAAAATCCCTTTTTAAAATGCTTATTGTTACGTACGTGGACCGCCACCAGGGGTCTGCAGTTATAGCAGGAGCTTGGTCCCCAAACACAAAGGGGACCTAGGATCATAGTCCACCAGGAGTCCACCAATAGCCCCCTTGCTGGGAGATTCAAACCCTCCAATGAGGACAGAGGTGTGCCGGGAGGAGTGTACAAACAAATACAAATACAACACCTTTATTGGCATAAAATATCAAATACACATGCAGCATAGAGCCTCAAGATAGGCTGGAGGGGTATCACATTCCGAATTGCCTTAATATGAGCGTCTCCTCCTAGATACCTCATAAAAGAAATTTGCTACAGGTTCCAGAATTTCTATATTGTGCGAAGACAATAAAAAACTAATTTTATGCTCATCAGATTGGCCCAAAAGGGGGTCCAACACAGGTTCAATAAAAACAACACGGATGTCACAGTGGAATTTACAGTACAATAGCACATGTCCAATGGATTCGATTTCCCCCATCCCACAGGGGCACAATCTATCTTTATAGGGAATTTTGTTGAACCTTCCCGATAGAACAGCTGAGGGAAGGACGTCAAACCGTGCTAGCATGAAAGCCCTACGAAGATGGGGCTGAATCAGTCTTGCCAGGTATCCTGAGGAAATATGGCTAAAAGAAAGTCCCATACTCACAGGAGAGCAATGTCTGTGCGCAAATCTTCTCAGGTCTTGCACCTCTATATCGAGGAGTCTTTGTTTGAGTAAGGCAAAAGCCTTCTGCTCAGACAAAAGTACCAAGTCATCAAAACTAAAGCCGATTATAGAAATTTTTTTCTCTATATTAATCAACCAAGTCGATAGATGGGATTCAGTTAACATGTGCACCACAAGACTGTTTGGGCCACATCTAAAATGAAGGCGCAGCCAAAATTTGAAGGTTATGGTCCATGCCATCGTAATTAACCGTCTTTGGGTTGTCTCCAGGCACATAGCTGCATATGGTACGCAAGCTGGTAGCCCCAAGATATTCTTTAGGAACTTAGATTGAACACGTTCTACAGCTTCATTACAAGCCGAGACCCAAATTGGGATACCATAAAGCAGTTTGGCGGGTATTTTATGGTTAAATACTTTAAGAGCAGTGGGAATATATTGATGTCCTTTGGTGTAAAAGAAACGGGCAATAGCAAGGGCGTTGTTAGTTGATGACTTAACTGCTTCTTTAATATGTGTAGCCCAGCTGTTAGTATAATTGAAATAGATGCCCAGGTATCTATGGCATTTGACTTGTTCGATTTTTTCCCCCTGTATAATCCACTTAATGGGCTTCCAACTTTTCTCAAACACAATGATTTTGGATTTATCGAAGTTCAGGGACAACTTGTTCTTATTGCAATAAGCAAGAGCTTGAGCAAGCATCCTTTTCATCCCCATTTCTGAGAGCGAGAGCAGGACAGCATCGTCCGCATACAAAAGTAACGGGACATGCCTCTCACCCAGTTTAGGGCAATGGCCATCAATACTCCTCATAAAGGGGTCTAAATCATTTAAGAAGAGGTGAAACAGGGTTGGCGCAAGAATGCAGCCCTGCTTAACTCCCACGTTAATGGGAATCTTAGCTGTTAAGTCCCCCTTCTTAGAATATCTAATCTGACAGGTGTTTCCAGAATGCAGGTTTTTAATCAAGAACAGTAGTCACTTGTCTATCCCCATGTCACTTAATTTCTCCCACAGAATATCCCTGGGCACCGAATCAAAGGCACCCTTGAGATCCAGGAAAGCCGCATATAATTTCATACCCTTCCCTGATTTGTATTTATTAACCAAGTGGTTAAGGACAATGCAATGGTCTAAGGTTGACTTGCCCTGACAAAACCCAATCTGCTCTATCCCAAGGACTTGCTGCTCTAATATCCAAGACTTAAGCTTTGTAGCCAAATGTTTGGCATAGAGCTTCCCAACGATGGACAAAAGACTTATTGGTCTGTAGTTACTTGGGCGCTGGCAATCTCCCTTTTTGAAGATCGGTACTATTATAGCATTTTTCCAGTCATCTGCCTTGCAGGGCCGTTTTGTTTGTCTT